CCTCCTCGTCATCCTTCTCGTCCTCCACCTCCCTCCTCCTCCTCCGCGTCATCCTTCTCGTCCTCCTCCTCCTCCTCCTCCTCCTCCTCCTCCTCCTCCTCCTCCTCCTCATCCTCCTCGTCCTCCTCCTCGTCCTCCTCCTCGTCCTAGTCCTTCTCCTCCTCCTCCTCCTCCTCCTCCTCCTCCTCGTCCTCCTCGTCCTCCTCCTGCTCCTCGTCCTCCTCCTCGTCCTCCTCCTCGTCCTCCTCCTCCTACTCCTCGGTTTCCTCCTCCTCCTCCTCGGTTTCCTCCTCCTCCTCTTCCTCCTCCTCCTCCCACCGGTGCCTGGCCTCGACGGCGGCTGGCGACACGGCGCCCGCCCCCGCTGGACGCCCTCGCCAGAAGGATGAGGACAGCAGAGCCGGTGGTGACCCAGGCGCGACTCCCCGGGCGCCCCCCCCAACGCCCCGGCCGACGTCCTGCCCGACTTGGCGGCGCGCACAAGGGGGTGGGGGGAGGGGGGAGGGCTTCTTAGAAGCACCCCTGCTTCTCAGAAGGCGCCGGCCTTACATCTACAGATAAGCGCTTTCTAAGAAGCAGGGGTGCTCCTAAGAAGCCCTCCCCCCTCCCCCACCCCCCTCTGCACGTGGCTGACCGACACCACGCTCCCAGGTCGCGACCGTCGGCGCCCCCGACAGACTTGGGGACCACACCTGGCCATCGCTCGGACGTCCATTCCCTGTGTTTTTTTTCGATTTCGCGCGTGGTTTTCGCCAAAAGATCAAGGATGCTCCTCGATGGTCCTCGCCGAAGGAAACATGCACACGTCCGAGCGATGCCAAGACACTCGGCAGGCCATTCCTGTGCAGCCCCAGCCCCTGGTGCCAGCCCTTGGCCGTGCCTTGCCCCTGGGGCTGATTGCCGCCGCCACGCGGGCGGGCGTGACGGCCAGCGACCGCGAAATCCCTGGCGCGCCCAGACGGGGACTGGGGCGTCGCGAGAAAGCGCTGGTCGGGGACGTCGACGCGCTGTACAGGCTGCCTCGTGAGCTCATCCGGTGGGAGCCCCTTGTCGGCGAGACGCCTAGCGAGTGTGCCAGGCGGTTCCAGCGCGAGGCTGGGTCCTCTCTCGCCAGTGGAACACGCGTTCTGCGCGGCGCAAGACGAGGGCGGAAGGCGCGTCATCTTCGAACCTGGGAGACGATCGGAGGCGCAATGCTCGGTATTCCTTTGCGGCTTCACTCCTCCTCCTCCTCTTCCTCCTCCTTCTCCTCCACCTTCCCTCTTTCCCCTCCCTCCTTCCGATTATATCCTTCCTCCTCATCATCCTCCCTTTCGCAATGCACTCCGACCCGTCCACCCGCTGTTGCTGCTGCGGAGAGCAGAGGGGACACTCGGAGAAACTGGTGACAAAGGGCAGGGGGGGGGAGCGCCGAAGTGTAGCGAAAGGCGAATAGTCGGGGCGGACCTAAGGAACCCTAAATGAGGACGAGGCCCCTTTTTTTCCCATAACTCAACTTCGATTTCCCATGGAAAACCTCAGGAAAACCCGAGGCAAACTTTGAACAATCAAGGAACACCGAGCCCCTCCCCAACGAAAAGGGTTCCTTCTTCAGGCCCCGACTGTAGGGGGGGGGGGGGGGGGACGGGGCGGACGGGGATAGGGGAGGGAGGGGTGGAGGGGAGGGAGGGGGGGAAAGGGGGTAGGGGGAAGGGGGGAAGGGGGGTGAAGGGGGGAAGGGGGGGGAAAGGGGGGGAGAAAGGGGGGGGAAGGGGGGGGGGAGGGGGGAAGGGGGGGGGAAGGGGGAGGGAGGATGGGGCCCTGGGGGATGGGGTCGCAAGGACGAAGGCCCCGAAACAAGATGAGCTCAACCTGGGGCCCCTTCCTGCCCGCGGGACTCCATCGGTCGGGGCCCCATCTTGGAGTCGAAAGGGCCGAAGGCGGGGGAAGAGGAGGAGGGGAGAAGTGGAGGAGCGGAGAAGCAGGGGAGCGGAGAAGAGAAGGCACAGGGAGAGCGTGAGGGTTGGTGGGAAAGAGGACGGAGCGAGGGCAAGAGGAAGGGCTGATGGGAGGGAGGGAGGGGCCGAGTGCCAAAACAGGGACGGGGCTGCTCTGAGGTCCGCGCCGGCAGCGCGTAGTGGATGATGGGCAAGTTCCCTATCAGCATGCTCTGCACGATGTCAATCGAGCCCATCGTGCCTTCCCCTTCTAGTCGGTTGTAGCTGCACACGCGTGCATTGCGGAGATACTGGGGTCGGGGAGCAAGGAAGGCGAGGGGGGACAGGGGAAGAGATGGGGTAAGAGATGGGAGAAGTGGATGATGGGGAATGGGGAGGAGTTCATCTGCTGTATTGCGTTGAGCCCTGCACAAAAATAATCCCAGACCATGGGCACCCTTCACGCGGGTGTCCAGAAGTCACATTACTGCAAGAACCAGATGGCACTGCCCTTGCTACTCACCCCGGCGCACCGTTGATGAATGTGATGAGCACGTAGGTCTTCAACCAATTGGACGATGGCCTGTCAAACAAATGCAAATACCTTCGTGCAACATCATGTAATCATGTGCGCCGCCACTGTACCACTGTGCAACGTTCGATACGATACCACCAGCCCCTGATGGCGTAGGTGGTTTCGGTCGGTTCCTCTTCCAACTCCCTTATTCGCCTTCGGGGAGGGGGTGATCACTGCTCCTTATGTGTATACACCCACTCCATCCGACCGGCGACAATCCTGGGCCAACGCCAACACCCCTCCTTCCCATCCCTTGCAACAGAAAACAATACAATGCATCAAAATCAGGATCATGCGCGGACGCCCCGCGATTACGGTATACGAGGCGAAGCATGAACGTATCCTAGAGGGCTGCTGGAGCCACCCCACCTGGGAGGACTGATGGAGCCACCCCACCTGGGATAAGTTTGCCTCGCCTCTGGAAGATACTCGAGAATGCCAACCGAAGTTAGAATTCTAACTCTCGTCATACTCGCACAGGCGGGAGGTCTTCAACCAAACGGCTACCAGTCAGAGCCCTGAGGCCTACCTCGTGCAAGCGGGAGGCCTCTAATCGGGGCGTTGTTCGGGCCGCTAATGGCATCACCTTCCGAACCTTGCGAGCATGGCTATTGAATTTTCTGAAGCGTTCCTCCCCCCTCCCTCTTGGCCCAAGCGCCATCCCCTCTGCGCTCCCCACGCCTCCCTGCCAGTGGGTACACCATGTGGCCGCGTCTCCCTCTCGGGATGTAGCTGTTTTGGCCCTCCCCCCGCCCCTGGTGAGTGTGATCCGCCCGCGCGTGGCGGGAGAGTCGCTCGGCCGTCGTGCGACCGCCCCGAGGTCGCCTCGGCGTGGAGCCCGGCCTTGGGAGGGCCCCCGCGTGGCATCTGACTGCTCTGCCCTCGGGGGGTGGCCACGCCCCGTCTGCGTGGCGGCGTGGCCCCTGGCTGGCCATCGCTCGGACGTCCATTCCCTGTGTTTTTTTTTCGATTTCGTGCGTGGTTTTCGCCAAACGATCAAGGATGCTCCTCGATGGTCCTCGCCGAAGGAAACATGCACACGTCCGAGCGATGCCAAGCTGGAGGCCACGTGGCCCTCGCGGGCCCTTCCGCGCGGCGGCGCCCACCGAGTTCGGCCCTCGGCTGCCGGGGCCCCCGGGGGCTCCGAGGTAACCCTTGTGCGGCCCTGCCGCGCGGCCTCTCGGCCGTGGCGCTGCCCACGGTGGTGCCTCGTAGCGGCACCTCACAAAACCCGGGTGTTGGAAAAACGGGTGCTCGAGGGGCCCAGGGACACACAAATAAATACACACAGATCCCAGGATTCCCCACATTGTTCCGTATGTTCTGGGTTGTTGTCTCCCCCCTCCACTTCCCATATTTCCGCATATTTCCTGGGGAATCGACGATTACATGTGTCTGCGTGTTTTTCCCCCTCCTGGCTCTCAGCGGCACCTCACATAGCCCTCGTGTCAGAAAAAAAGGTGCGCGCGGGTAAGGGAGGAGCATGCGGGGCACATGTTTCTGTGTGACACTGCCTGTCATGTGACCAAGTCGGTGGCATGGCCGCAATTTTCGTTCAGAAACCCGTCTCGACAACTCGGGACGGTGACTTGTGTACTTGTACTCTGTGGTATGGGACCGCACAGTGCTACCCTTGTCTGGGGCACACACAACGCCAACCTAGAGGTTGGCGCTGTGTGTGGGGGGAGGGGGGGCGTTTGTCCCTACCGTTCTAGCGCTACGACACAAGCCAGGAATTCACTGTGGAAACACCGACTGCTTTTCATCAGTCAGCATGAAGGGTCAAGGACTCCCGATCGCCCGCTCGGCCTTCGTCGGCCCTTGCCCGCACTCGGCCTGCAATGGGCAAATCGGCTCGCCCCCTCAAAAGCCACGCGTGCCACTCTAACGCGCGGTCAAGAGCACCAGGATTTAAACAGGCATTGGGGCCGCCTGCCAGGCGCTCCCGTTCCCACCGCCCCCGACCCGCCCTGACTCCCACCGCCCCCTGCCCCGCCGGAAGCGGCATCGTCGGCAGCTGCTCCAGCGAACCCAGAAGGGCACGTGTGGGCTTGGCGTCGCACCGGCTGGGCGGGCCAGCGCTGTTTGCGCTTTGTCACGAGCGACCGTAAGCCCGCGCCCAACGTATCGCCTTGCCGTGGGTGCAATGAAGCACTCTCTGCTCTGGTCGCCAACCCAAGGGGGCACAGATTGCACGTAGCAAACTACTCCCATGGTGTTTTTGTTTACATGCGGCAAGTGCGGCGCCTACTGTGAAACTGGCGCTTTGCGTTCCTTGGGTAAGGAAAGCCCGCCAGGACGCGGTTCCCCGTCCAAAGGCGCAAAGCATTATTGGGACAGGTTTGCCAGAGGTCAACACCCCAACTCGAAAGTTGGCCCGGCCTTTTGCCTTGACGAGCGTTTCTCCGTCTCTGGCCTCTTTCCACCTTAGTGTTCACTGGGTCCACTCCTCGGGGCTGGTGGCCCATACCGACCGAGGTCCCCGCAGAGATGTTTGGTAACATGTACGCGTGTGGGTATGCTGCTCTCGCACCGGCCCCGTGGAGGGTATTCCTCCCTCCCCGGAGACCCGCAGCAGCCTCTCAGCGACCGCGTATTTCTATGTTTCTCTCCCTCTCTCTCTCTCTCTCTCTCGGGGGGCAGGGCGGGACGAGAGGAAGTAGGAGGAGGGGGCTTTGGACACCGCACTCACAAGCACATTTGAGGAACGCGTGCGGGCACATAATTGTCCGCCGGACAATTCGGCGTGCTGACCACACCAGAGGGCTCATCAACCAGAGCGTGGAGCACGCACGTTCAGCATTGTGAGGGGCGCGTTCGCCTACGACCCCGGCCATTTCCAATGCGAGCACCTATCGCACCACACACACTCAGGACTGTAAGGATGAGACTTCCAAGCGGTCGTGGATCACTGAACTCCGAGGGTCGCCTCATCCTAAAAAATGGGCTTAGGCAGCCTGAAAGCCTACAGAGTACATGGCAGTCCTCCTCCTCTTCCTCCTCATCCTCCTCCTCCCTCCTCCTCCTCCTCCTCCCCTCCTCCTCCTCCTCCTCCTCCTCCTCCTCCTCCTCCTCCTCCTCCTCATACTCATCATCATCATCATCATCATCATCATCATCATCATCATCAGCAGCAGCAGCAGCATCATCAGCAGCAGCATCATCAACATCATCATCAGCATCATCAGGTTCAGCATCACCAGCATCATCAGCATCATCAGCAGCATCAGAAGCATCATCAGCATCATCAGCAGCATCATCATCACCACAACCATCACCAACACCATCATAGGCATCAGCAGTATCATCCTCATGATCATCAGCATCAGCATCATCATCAACATCACCTTCATCATCAGCAGCAGCATCATCCTGATCATCCTCATCAGCATCATCATCAGCATCAGCATCAGCATCAGCATCATCATCATCATCATCATCAGCATCATCCTCATCATCATCAGCATCCTCAGCATCCTCAGCATCCTCATCCTCATCCTCATCCTCATCCTCAGCATCCTCAGCCTCCTCCTCCTCCTCCTCCTCCTCCTCCTCCTCCTCCTCCGCCCCTTCCCCCTCCCCCTCCTCCTCCCCCTACCCCTACCCCTACCCCTCGTCCTCCTCCTCCTCCTCCTCCGCCACTTCCCCCTCCCCCTCCCCCTATCCCTACCCCTCCTCCGCCTCCTCTCCTCCTCCTCCTCCTCCTCCTCCTCCTCCTTCTCCTGCTCCCTCCACACCGCCCGCCCCATGTCCCGAGCCTGTGGCAGGGTTATCAGCGCATCGTTGTCGTTGTCGTTGTGGCGGTTGTCGTCGACGTCATTCTGGGTCGGCGGAACCGGCCGTAAGGCCTTGACAGTAGGTAGTTGTTTGTGGCCCTTGTTTGTGGCCCGTGCAGTCGAGCAGGGGGCCCGTGCCAGCAGTTATCTACGGACACCTAAGAGACGCGAAGCAGCGAAAGGTTCTCTTGCACCCGACAACGGGCGCGGCGGCCATGGTATGGTCGTCGGTGCCCAGAAGTCCACCGATACTTGCTGGAATGGACTCTCACTTTCTCACAAATATGTTGAAGTATTTCCGGCCAGCTGTGGTCTTTCCGAGGGCCACCTTGACCTCAGCAACTCCGAATGGCATCCACGTGCCCTTCGTGGGAGAACTGGTTGCAAAGTGGATATCCGAGCTTTGCCCAACGCTACTGGCCAACGACCCTGTAATGTTCACCTCGGTGAAGTGTGTGTGTGTGTCCGCGCAGCGTCCACCGAGACTTGCCGCCCGCGCGTCCACCTGCAAACACGTCTCTTCCTGTGTGGCCCCCGCCGGGATGTGGAGAAGCCGATGGACGCCAGGCTGCAAGATGTCGAAGCGCTGTCCGAGAATGTTCCGGAGGTGCGGGTCGCCCGTCGCCGCGTCGTTGCCGTCCGAGCCGTTTGAATCGCGGCGCACAGTCAGCGCTGTGCGAGCCTTGTGGCAATAGTCCCTTGCCGCGGTTCCCCAATCCGAGATGCTGATGCAAACCTGCTCCGTGACGTTGGCGCACCCAGAAGTAGTGACGTTGTATCCGGCAGCGAACGCGACAGCCTCAGCGTCGTCATCAGCCGCTTGACTCGTTGCAGTCGCCGCCGCCGTGGACGATGCGACAACGCCTGCGCGACGACGGCGGCGTACAATACCGTAGTAGGACCACTTTGATGCTGGACACTTTACATCACATCCGAAGTACTCACCCCATCGATCTGAACAATTAGTCCGATGGTCCCATATCATGCAGGTATGCCTAGCGGCGATGTGTAAACCTTCGCGCCACGGACGCACATCATCCATTGGCTCGCTGAAAGCGTAGGGATCTCGGATCCAAGAACACGTTTCTTCAATGACACCGTCCCCGTCGCAATCCACGAGCTCAACGTTCAGGCCCGGGGGCCAAAGATCGCACCAATCAGCACGACCGCTGCACGAAATCCGCTGGCCCCCTTGTGGTGCCACCAGGCTGCGCGGGTCAGGTTTGCTGCT